GATTTGGCATAGATTAAACATTAATAACTGAGAAGAAAAAATCTCAACAGAAGTTTTTTTTTAGTAAAAAAAACATAGTATGACAAATAAACTCCACTGGAGTAAATGATCACATAAACTGACAAAACGAGCATCACTCAAAATGAATCTCCAGCTTTAAACAGAAAAGAAGAAACAAAACGAAGAATAATAAAAAACAAGAAAAAGAGTCAAAGCGGGATGATCTTTTAAGAAGAAGCGCATCACTTTTATGTGTCCATCAATGTGATGAGACAAGAAGGACGTCCACACTAACAGAACAGGCTGAACATGGAGTTTCTCCCCTCAGAGTTTGCAAGTCCACTACCAGGGCCTCCAAACAGAACCTGTGGTGCTGTCCTGCTGTGAGCTGGTCCTGAGGCTGGAGGAGCTGCAGGGTGTCTGGACCTGATGGAGGGTCTGGTCCTGCTGCTGCGGAGGCCCCACCTCAGCGTTGGCGCCAGCAGACAGAAACCGCACAGAGTCCCTCCAGCTGTGAGAGTAGCTGTGACAGAGGCCCGACTGCAGCTGCTGCCTCAGGAAGCTCACCGTCATCTCCAGGATGTCGGCCTTCTCCAGCTTGGAGTTGGGCTCCTGCTTGTGAAACTCCTTCTCCAGGATGACTTTGAGCTGCTCGATGCAGCTGTTGATGCGGTCCCTGCGCATTTTCTCCACGACGGGTTTTCTTAGCTGAGAGGAGGAGAAAAAAAGGCAGAGAAGTTAGATAAAATGATCAATCGCACTGCACAGAGTGTGTTTCAAAGAGAAGTCAAAAATCATCCTTACGCTCACTTTGAGGTTGTCTTTCTCAGACATCCTGATGTGAACAGGAGAGAAACCATTTGGACAAGGGGACATGTCTGTTGTCTCTGCGCAACTGTCAGCTCTGCTGTCTCTGGAGGAGCTGCTGCTCTTTTTTATACTCCCTGATTAGCATAACAAAGCCATGTGGCTCAGGCCGGGCTGGGGTTCCCACACTCAGACCTGTGGGACTCCCAGGGCAACAAAAGGGGACACATCAATAAATCACAGGGTATGTCTCTATGCCTGGTATGTTTCCCAAGATAAGCAACAGGTAATTAACACTCTATCACAAGGTCATCTAGAAATTTGTGGCCAAAAACTTCTAATAGAAAATTTTTTGAAACAGATAAGAGGATGTAAAAACAGTTTTATAATGAATGAGGACAATAATATGTCACAGCTCTTAAAAAATGTACTCCTACAGAGATAGCTCAAATTTCTGGAAGTGTGGAAAAGTTATAAACAATTATCTTACCTGCTGCAGATAGCTCTTTGAACTGCCTCAGTTTGAAGAATAAAAACATTTAAGTCTGACAGTGTAACAGTTAGTCCAAGTAGAGTCAAAATCAAATAAAAAGTGTAAGTTTCTAAATTTTTATGTCATATTCTCAGATTTTATAATTATACCGGTCCGCAGAGTGTAAATAACTATTTTCCATACAAATAACTAATGTAAAACTGATGAAAGTGTAAATGTTTATAGTATTTTGCATGAACCACTCTAAAATCAATTAGCGTTAAAAGCTACTTCTCAACCTGAGCTCTATCTGCAACGGGTAAGATGATGATTGTTCAAAATATCCGCAGCATTGCTTTAAGTTTAGATTACTTATCTTTAACTTTTGTTTTCATGTAACCTGCTGCTTTGTAAACATCCGGTAACGACACAGTCTTGCCTGACTTTGCCTGAGGGTCCGCAGAGCCCGAATGGACCGAGTCAAATTAGTGTCAAGTTAATGACAAGAGGAGTGGGCGGGGCCGAGTGTTTCAGAGGGCTTTCATCACTGCCTGGTCCCAGATGTGAGGTCGGCCTGGAGGACTCAACATGAGCAGTCCTTTTCCCATCAGTCCACAACATCAGGGAGGATGAGCTACAAAAAGCTCCTTCAGGAAGGTTAATTGCTCTTCTGTTGCAGGACAAACAGAAACTTTGTGTCCCCCTGATCCCATCTGGGAAAAATCAAGTCATCTTCAGCTTCTGGCACAGAGGAGTTTGTGTCTTCAGGCGTCTATCTGCAGTGGTGTCAAATCAAAACAAGGAGGAACAAAAGAAAACATACCTAAGCTATAGAAATATTTCACCTTTTGTTAATAAATGCCCACATTTTAATATATTTTTTAGTTATGATTTGATGTGAAATTACTAAACTGAAATAAAACACTCAAACTGTAAATAAAATAAGGTTAATGTTTTTCCCTGTTTATTTGTCAGTGGAGTTTGCAAAATACCTCATGAGGCAGAGGATGTATTTTAATGACACGCCCAATAAGCTGAATCATTGAACAGTCTACAACTAATTTATGTTTTGGTGTCCATTTAAGATGGCCGTCACATGAAGCAAGCTTTACAAACTCAAAAAAAAAAAAAAAAAAAAAACAGTTTTACAGATATTGAGCTAAACTTTGATGTGGGAGAAGAGAGTCATCCCAAGCACACAATCTGAGAGCTAACACATCTTGCAAAAATCTCATTAGACCAAAATGTCTACAACTTCATCACTGGTTTTAGTCTTGGTTTAAAACTCTAGGTCACTGTTTCCCAAAGTTGGGGTCAGGACCCAAAGTGGGGTCCCGAAACATCAAGGTGGGGTCCTGAAAAGATTTTCTGAATTAATTACATTTTTGCCTTAGTTGTTAAAAATGAGTGAGGTTAGTATATTTAAAATGGATAAATGTAGTATAAAAATATTGCTACAATGCCCTTGTTTTGTTGACCTGATGCAAATGTTTACCATCCAAAAATAGTTGGGGGCACAGGTCTCTGCTACTGTTATTTTGTGGGTCAAAAGCTGAAAAGTTTGGGAACCACTGCATTTTGGTTCCCAAAGTTGGGCTTGGGACCCAATTATGGGTCATGAAGCACCTTGGATAATCTCCAGAAATCAATTTAAAGGGTAATAAAATAATTGCTGATATAATATTTTCCCTAAAATTATTACAAAAACACAAAAAAGTATAAATAAGAGTTTATATTTGTGTATAAGCTGTTTAGATTGTCAAAAAGCCTGTGTTTTTAGGGTTAGTAACGAAGTTCATGTACTCAGACCAGTAATATTTGGGGTCACAAGTTTTTGCCATGAATATTTAGTGGGTCAGAAGACAAAAAGTTTGGGAACCACTGCTCTAGGTGATTACAGGGTGCGAAGTGTAAAATAAAATGTAAAAAAACGTTACTAACAATATTTTATTATTTACGTAGTTCACTTTGTGTGTAAAATCTTTGTGAAAGATTTTCCACCAACATTTCATTGTTATTTAGCTCACTATTTTTTACATTTTGCTAAATGCTAATGCCCAAATGTAAAAGTTACATTTAAAAGTTAAGATTTACAATTTAAGTATTTCTGAACAGAACACGGCCTTTGCTGTTTAAGCTGGCTCTCAGTAGGTCGTCGTCATCCTGAGGCAATAGCTAACGCTGCTAACTCTGCTACTGCTAATGGTGTCTGAAGTGCATTTCAAACTGCTGGACAACATGTAGCTACCATTTGAAAGGCCAGCAGCATTAGCATTTGTTTTTGTCACAGGATGATGATGTGTTCCAAGCTGAAATTCTTAGATGTAAGTTTTATCATTTAGCCACAATTTCTACATTTAGATTTAGGAATTAACATTTACATATAACATTTAACATTCAAATGTAACCTTTAGTAAAAAAAAAATAGCAGCATGTAAGAACAGTGAGCTCAATAACAATAAAATATTAGTGGAAATGTTCTAACTTTTATTCCCATGAAGTAAGTTAAATAACGAGAATGTGTTAGTGACATTTTTAACATTTTATTTTACACATGGCGCTCCATGCATCTTCTTAAAGGAATGGTGAACCTTTATTTTTCCTCCAAATTAAAGTTCAAAACTCTTATTTAAATTTGTGACATTATGGTGTTTAAAATTTCCATCAAGTATCAAGTTATTAATTATAACACGTGTTTCCCATTGCTGTCATTTTAACACTTGAATTGTTTGTCCTCTTCATACCTGACATGTTTGCACAAATTCATGCCTCCTCTAAAAGTTTGTGAGCACGCCACTGTTCCAGGAGCTCTTTTGTCTACAAGTGTGTGGGAAGAAGGGTTCCCCTCCCAGCCGCCCCACCCAGGAGCTGTGAATTCCTGCCATAAAGCCTGGCCCATCTCTGAGACCCGCGGCGGTGCAGAGCTGCTACCCATGAGCCCTCTCTCTGTGAGTGTGGTATCTCTCGTTTCCCACACTCTGCATCTATTCACTGGGCCCGGGCGTGGGGACAATAGAAGTGTGTCTTGTTACACATCACATTAGCCACGGTGTTTGATCTCCTGCTGAAGAGCGGGGGAGGAGGAGGAGCAGGGGGCCGGCTTCAGCCAGACCATCTGGCCTGGCAAACTAGACCCTGAGAAAGTCTCTGGCATCCCACATTCTGCACCACTTCCACACACACACACAAGGACTTTAGGAGCTCTTGAGACATAATGATCACCACAGCCGAGGGAACACCTGTTCAACAACAAAGTCAGGCAAGATGGAGCCTTAATGATCCACAGATAAACAGTACAGCACCGAGAAAAAGTTGTAATCCAGCCTTCATTTCCTTACACCTTGTTTCCAATGAGACACATTTTCTCTGGGCTGTAGGAATGTTTTGTTTGTTTTGCCCTAATTTTCTGTCCCGTTCCCCTGACCGTAACAGCTCATTGTATTAAAAATGAGAACTGGAGAACTAAAGTCCCATTTACAGAGTTGAACAGAATCTGAAAGCCAAGTTTTTAAGACGTGAAACGTGCGTCTTTCTTCAGCTGATCGTCTAAATGTTGTTTTCAGCTGTTTGTGTTTTCAGTTTGCTGTGTTCTGTTTACTGTTTTTGTGCTTGTCAAACCATCTTTGATGTTTTTTTTTCTTTAAATAAATTCAACTAATGATTTTACGAACACATCATGTCTCAGTTATACGCAAGTGCTGAAACATCAAATTTAATTTAGTTTTGCGAAGTTGTCTGATGATCCTTTGAGTTTAGGAGTCTTTTAATTGGTCAAAATTAAGCAGTTTAAACATATAACAAAAACATACGTATGCAAAGAGTCATACTATTCACTATGAGTGAAAATGCAGCCAAAGTTAAAAAGTAAACTCTAAAAGATTAAAAAAAAAAAAAAACCTGAATCAAGTCTACTTTAAAGGGTTATAAGAAAATCTGACTCCTGGGAAGAGAAATGTTAAGAAATAGGGTTGACAAAACATTTGCACATTACAGCATACACATCTCTCATCTTTTTGTCCTTAAAGTGCCTGTGACATGTCCTTCAGATACAAAAAGTCAAAGAAAACTTTGTTCTGTTTAAGAAACGTGGCATACCACACTTTATTTTACCCATTTGGGCACATAACTGACCTATTTTCTTTTGAACCTGGCTTGTCAAAAGGGAATCAGGAAGTGACATCAAAGGGGAACTTCTTTAAGAAAAAAAACTCACTGGTCTTTGTTTATTGAAAGATAATTTTAACTCTGACTCTTTTTTGTTTGTTTCTGTCTGATAGCGAATCAAAATAAACATCAGATTCCTCTCCACAGTCTGGGCTGTTGAGCATTTTAGCTTAGCTCTGTTTTCATGCAGACGTTCCCCTTTGACATCACTTCCTGTTACTTCACATGCAAATATCTCAACAACTGTTCATCTCAGCAGCATGAAAATTATTTCACAAAACGTTTTCAGTACTATCTTTCCAAAAATGTATTTGTATTATTACCAATTTTTTTGATGTCACAGGCACTTTAAACAGATACATATCAGCCATGATGATAAAGGCACTGATGCACTACTGTACAAATGCAAACGTTGACCTTTTTCCTTATAAATACTCCAGATGCTTTCCGATAATCCAGCAGCCATTTTTTTCTGAAACATGAGCTCATCTGAATGTTTGTCTCGTTTTTCTGTTCATCTAGAGCCAGAGAACCCAGCAGCTCATCTGTGCAGACCTGAAACATGGCTTCAGCTCAGCGATAAACTGGTTTAGATTACAACTGGTAAAATTATAACGCTTTTTCAGATTATCCTTGTTCCCGTGGGGTCAAACTGATGACCCTAAAGGCTCATGAGTCACACACATCTGCCCCTGCAGAGGTTAATGTTTGTGCCCGTGTGCGTACGTGTCTTTCAGAAAGTAATCATTGGGTTGACAGTGACACCTACAAATAATTAACTTTTGGAGTCAAACTGATTTAAATGGCTGCCTCTGCAAAGAACTCAGCAAACACAAAAATGGCTCCACTTCAGTGAATTTTAGCTAAATATTGATGTGGTGGTAGTTGACAGTCATTCACAACACACACTTCAAGCACCTACAGATCTGGCAAAAATAAGAGATTTAACAATAATTAATGAGCTTACACATAATGGTATTTTCAACGTTTGACCAAAATGACCATAGTTGTCATTTTTCAGCATAAGATGATTTTAGTGTAATATTGTGTGGTTTGCGTTTCTTTAAACAATGCTAAGCCTTTAGTTTTTAATTGTTTTACAGACTCTAAACAATACACCTCTTTCCATCACTGCAGGTGCAGCTAAAACTAACATTAATTCATTTCTATTCTCACAGACCTATGGTTAATCTGTGTGTGTGTGTGTGTGTGTGTGTGTGTGTGTGTGTGTGTGTGTGTGTGTGTGTGTGTGTGTGNGTGTGTGTGTGTGTGTGTGTGTGTGTGTGTGTTGTTGTCACTTCCTGTAAAGTTTGACGTGTGCACTTCTACTTAATTGTTACTTGTGAAACTTGTGCAATATAAATGTGCTGTAAGAATAAAATCCAACTTAATAAAAATGATAAAACAAGAACACAATTCTACAGCTTACAAAACTTCACAAGAAGTTTATTTTATTTCTTATTGTCACATTTCTAAATGCAAACTTCACAATGGAAGCAACATGAAGATTCTTTTTAGTAAAAAGACTGAAGGGAGAATATAACTGCCTTCATGAAAGGCATTCACTGGGAGATGAAAAACATCTGTTGTGAACATCACAAATGGACTGGAAACTAGAAAACAGTAACACTCATCCAATAATAAACCAAATATTGGTTACATATAGTCATTATAAACAGAAAATATTCCTACAGAGGATTCACAGTGAAGGAGGATCCACAGGATCCTTTACGAGGCTCGATTTAGATTCATCAGCAAGATGATAAAACATATCAGTGATACTCAGTATCAGGGATAAGAACAAAAAAATACACTTCATTCAGTGTCTCAGATACTTAAACTGTCTAAAACCAGTGTGGTTAAATAGCATCATTAAGTGATCTTTGCATAGAAAATAAAAAAGTTGAGATTTGTTTTCCCCACAGGAGAAGTTTACAAAATCACTGAGTGAACACTCAAAAACAACAAGTGTAGGTATTTTTACACATGGTGTAGAAGTTTTCAGTAAAACCTGAATATTTTCAGTCCTTCCTCAGGAATTCAGTCACACAGTTCAACGCTCATGTCGAAGCAAAAGGAAACAGACTCCGGTGAGTTCTTCACTTCCTGTCCGTGACGTCCACAGACGTAGTTCTCTCTGGATGCAGGTTCCTCAGCCCTCGTCCTACCAGGGCCTCCACAGGGCGCCGCCGCCGCTCGGGCCCAAACCTTTACAGGAGCCCCCCCGGTGGTGAGGAGAGCCGGGAGGAGACGGGTTGCAGGGACTGAGACGGGTCCTGCTGGACGCCCGCAGACCCTGGAAGTGGTTGAGGAGGAGCGTGTGGGCCTGAGACTGGACGTCACAGCGGGACAGGAAGCCCACGGCCTCCTGGATGCAGTGAGAGTAGCCGTCGCTGGCCGTCATCAGGTTCTGCTGCTGCTTCTGCTTCTGCCAGCACCTCAGGTAGGACACGGCCATCTCCAGGATGTCCGCCTTCTCCTGCTTGGAGTCTGGCTGCTGTCGGAGGAACTCGGGTCCCAGGAGGGCCTTCAGCTGCTCGATGCTGGTGTTGATGCGGTCTCTGCGCAACTTCTCAACCATCGGCTTTCTCAGCTGAAGACAAGACAAAGAAAACCAGTTAATTAAACTCGAACCATTCCGTTTCCCTTCGACACAGCTCAGGAGAAGAGCTGTTAGAGCTGAGGTTTACCTTATGAGCTGGAGTCAGGTGGTCCTTGCTCGCTTGTCCAACCACAGTGGGGGCCATCGCTGCTGAGTGGGAGCCTCTCTGCTCGGTTCAAAGAGCCAGTGGAGTGTGAGCTGCTGTTCCTGCCGCTCCTGTCCCGTATTTATACACCCAAATCTCCATATGAATGTGTGAGTCTCTGGCCTGTTGGAGTTTCTCACAGTCTCTGGGCCAATGAGAGCGCTGGGAAGGGCTGCGGGAACGCAGGGCTGCCACATGCTCAATGAAGTGTTTATGGCCACAGGGACAATGAGTGTGCCTCTGGGGAGCAGGTGGAGAAATAGACCACGAGAAAAAGAGCCCCGGGGTGGAGGGGTGKGGKGGGACGGGGTGTGSGGGGGGGGGGGGGGGGKGAAGCTGGAAGAATGACCCGGCGCTTGTGTTGATATGGGAAAGTGGTGACCCCGGAGAGAAGCATGCGCGGTCTCATGTCGTCTCTGCCGCCACGTAATTGAAGACAAAGTGCCTCGGCCACCAGGCACACGTGGGTGTTCGAGAGGGGGCCCAAGAGCAAGAAAAGACCAACATGCAGCCACTTCCACCTGTTTGAAGCGGCAGACTTCCCGCCAGCGCTTGCGCAACAGTTGAGTCGACTCAGAAACGGAGGGAAAACAGAGTTCTTCTGAAAGTTTTGGAACTCAGATTAAGTTGGATGAGAAAAATGTGTCAACTTTTGATTATGAATTTATTGTTATACACTAAAAATTAATTTAAGAAAGCTCAATAAAAGCTTTTTTTTCAGTCAGAAATTGAGAAAAGAAAAGAATTGAGCAGAATAGATATCTAAAAATATTAAGGTACTTTCTTATCTGATCAAGAGTAAATTCCCTTCACTTTATAAGCTTACAGTATGTAATCATTTTATCATCTGAAATATTTTGTCCAAATGAGTGCTATTTACCATAACTGTGCTTTATTATGAAGTGACTTGTTATATCTGGAACCAGGTATTCTCTGGATAAAGGCCCAAAGTTTTAGACAACTTATGCCAAAATTTTGTCTAACAATGAAGATGGAATTAAAAAAAAGGTCGTCTAAAATGTTAGTAGGGCTATGAGTTCCAGGTACATCAGGTTAGTAACAGGTAAGGATTGGACTTTGTGACGTTCTTTCAAAATGTAAAAATTATGGATTTTTTTTTGTCAACTCCTGTTTTCTTATCAGAAATGTGTGTGAAAAAGGCTTCAGCTGATTCATTGAGGGTTCAGTTAGAACTAAGAACAGAAAACACAATTTTTTTTACAGTCTTAAACTTTTATCATGTTTGTTACCTAATTTAAAATCTATTTACTTCATAAAGAAAACTCAGAGGCAGATTTCTGTTTTCAGGTTTAAATTTGTGTGAAAGCAGCTCTCTGTTCGGCAAACATCTCAGACTTTATAAAAGGTCTAAAACTTTCCTGCCCGTTAAAACTAATGAAGCTGGTTCAGTGAAACCGTCTCTGAAATGATTTCACTCATAAGTCTGTCATCTGAAAAAACTTACTTTTTTTTCTCCACTTTTCATGCATTTGAGCCACTGTTCCAGACTTTACACACACACTTTGTCTTGGACCTTTTGTGCTTGTGTCCTGTGTTTTAACAACAAAAACAAACTTTACCATCTAAATGACCCTATTTTCATTCTAACTTTTTATTATCTTAACTCAACCTCAGTCACAAATCTATGATTGATTTCTTTCTTCCAAAAAATGCAATTTTTACTCCTGGTTCTTTTATTTTGTACTGAACTCAACATAATCTCAGACTACTTCTGAATTTAAAAAGGTTTATGTGTTTATTAGAAATATGTTCTTTTTTTTCACACTTGAAGCACACGCTGCCCTGTCAGATAAACTCTAATCACACAGACCCTAATGTTAACACTCTCCTCAACTATACACACACACACACACACACAGAGAGAGAGAGAGCTGGACGGGCTGCACGCCGCTGGCCACGTCTCAGTCACACGCTCCCTTCCTGCCTGTGCAGAACGTGGGAGCTGCTCTGGTCCCAGGCTTCCCACACTTCAGCGTTAATGACTCCAAGGCAGGCTGCACAAAGGAAGTGTGCCCTGCTGAACAAAGACTGAGTGACCAACCCACCGTCCTCCTCCTCCTCCTCATCCACACACACACACACACACACACACCCAGGAAGGCAGGGTTGTCAACAAGGCTTCCAGGCACACCATCTGGATGGATTGTGTGCTTTTGTCGACCAGTGGAGCATGGGAGACGCTCACACCGTGAGAACTGGAGAGGTTGAAATGGAGACGGAAAGTTAAATAAAAAGTGTGTGTGTGAGAGAGACGTTCTCAGGTTGGTTTGACAGAGATGGTTTTCAAAATGTGAATCGTTTTGAGAGAAAGCTGAATGAATCAATAAAAAGGTAAATTTAGAGGAAAAAAATTACACATTTCACTACATTTAAACTAAACATAAAAACATCTTCCTCTTTTCCCACTCTTACAGTAAAAAGTTTATCAGACAGATGTTTTACCTGCATGTTCCCACCACATACCACTCCATTAGTACATCATCATCATCAGATCTGAGGCAGTGGAGGCCCCGTCCACCTGTTTGTTTGGACAGGGCCTCATTGTGTCTAATTTATTCACATTGTATTGTCACAACACCTCCTTGTGATTGGCCAAACACTGAGAACCGGCACATCATCGAGTCGTTCAGAAAGTTGGTGTGAGCATTTAAACGAGGGAGGTTCTGCTGGCTCAGAATCAGAACCCGGACCGCTTCCTGGTCCCCACACAAACCTGAACTTCATGGATGATGACTGAGTGTTCATCACGAGGAATCAGCGCACAATGTAAGTTTAAACCCTCTGACAATTTGATTTTAATTTTTAGTCTGGTTTGAGGAGTTTTGACCTCAGGATATTTGTAGTTTTGTTTCTGCAGGAATCTGACTTAAATATGACCCTTTAAAGCATGTCAGTCTTTATTTTGACCATATGAGCAATTCTCAATGCTTTAATGATATTTTACATATAGATGTTTGTCTTAAGTTCTAGTTTTTTGAGCCTTTTGTAAAAATTGATCCCGTTTAGTTTCTTCCATATAATCAGCAACTACCGTACATATTTTACTAACTTTTTGCTACAGCTTGTTTTTCAAAGTGTTTAGCTCTGGTATACCAAATTTTAGTTCTTTACTTTTGTTTTGCTTGTATTCATTTTTATAGCTTTTCACTGTTCAGCTCAATTACATTTTTTTGGTGAAATTTAGCTTGCTGTAACATCACCAATTAGGTTTCAGTTTTTAAAACAAATTTCAAGTCATTCAGAGCTTTCCATTTATGCAGAAAATGCTAATTTTTCTCATTTTAAATCTGTTTTTATGTCATTTTTTTCCCCTCCCCAGCTTGTGTAAGATGAGCATGTTGGAGAGGAAGTGCATAAAGCAGCGAGGCTCTGCTCCACTCTGGAGTCAGCTCAGCCTCGGGATGACCGGCTCAGACATGTGGGGCAAGACAGTCTCGTTCTTTACAGCGAAGACCTTCGTTTTCCACCACAGTTTTACAGAATCCTCCAGAGAGGCTCTGAGACTGGTCCGCCTGCTTGCTGAGGACGTGGCGCTGCTGTGGACGTGTGGGGTCACACAAATTTACAAGAGTTGATGCTCCTGCTTATAATGGGACAACCTGAAGATGTTTGATAAACATTTGTACAAGAAAAGGTGTTTGCCTCAGCAGAACTGGGGAAAATATCTGATCATCAGGTTACGAGTGAACATTTTAAACCCTAAATTTGTTTTTGTTAAACCGAGCCGTGTTTCTTTGTATAAAAGATTGATGTTTACGCCCATGCATACTGACAGTAAATGTTTTAAGACATTGTGATTGTAATGTACAAAGGAAAGCCCAAAAGGTGCAAAAAATATATATTTTTTAATTATACACTTTTATATATTAATCTCTGATAAAGTATTTTAAATATGTTATATTTCGCCCTCTAGTGGCAGTTTCATCCGACCCAAAAACATTTCAGAACTCACCGAGAAGGAACGTTTGTTTCCAAATCATCATAAATTCATAACTGGATTTGATCTCAAAGTATGCTGCATCCATAAAAAATAAATAAAAATTTGGGAAAAACTCATTTTTGCAAAGATCTATTTTTAATTATTTCATACGCAGAGCAGAGATCTGAGGAAGAAACAAATGAACAAATTCATTAATCAAAAAACAAAGGGTTTAAGGATATAATGCAAGTCTGTTTTATTAATTTAGACATGTCTGATATTTTAATTGCAACAGATGGAAACTTTCAGAAGTTCACTTCAAAGGCATAGCTTTATGGAGGAAAAACAAAAAGCAAAAACATTTTTTTAAAATTTGCTTCTGAGGTTGATAAAACAAACCTAACATTCCATTCTGTCAATCAAATTCCAGCTATAACCAACGTTTAGATCAAAAACCCAGAGGAAAAAGACTGGAGCTCTTTGAAACCATGTGAC